CAGCTCCAAGAAAGGTACTGAGTCAACACCTCACCAAAAACACAGGAAAACAACTGCCAGCACCTCAACAATCACTCCAGTTTTCAATTGATAAAGCAACACTGAAGAAAAGCTTTTCAGGCACTTGGCAAGAGTCCATCCCACTTTAACCAGTTTGTGGGACTCGTTCCCAGCCTCCTGAGGTTCATTTCCCACCTCACTCGGGGCTGCAGTACACCTGGTTCTACACACACACACACACACAGGGAGCTGCTGCTGCTCCTGGATCCCAGGCTCCTGCTTCTCCTTGCAACTCCTCCAGCTGTTTGCCCAGCTCTCCAGTGCCCATTCCTTTGCCCACTGCACTTGTTCACAGCCCCAGGGCTCCCAGGGCCACCTGGGGCTCTCCCCTGCCCTGACACTCAGGGCCCTTTCCCAGCCCCGACTCCATCCAGCACTGACACAGCTGCTGCACCTGCAAGTCTCCTGCTCCTGCCCTCCCTCTGCCTGCAAAACACTCCTGCCAGCTCCTGCACCCCCACCTCTTACCTCCCAGGAAAACACAGCTGCATCCTCCTGGATCCTCCAGATGGATGCTGCTGGCTCTGGGCAGCTCCCACCCTTCAGCAGGGGATGCCAAAGGCAGCTCTGGGGACTGTCCCCAGGGCAGGGACACCCACTCTGGGTCACACCAACACTCAGCCATCTCAGGCTTGGGCTCTTCTGCCTGCAGGGCAACAAACAGCCAAGCAGGGACACTGGGACACTCCAAGGAAACAGGGACAACACACTCAGCAGCCTGGCACACCACAGCCCCCAAACCTGCCCAGGCTCCAGCTGCTGCACAGACCTGTGGCCACACAGGACCCAAACCCACCCCCAGCACAGACAACCCTGGGCAGGTCAAGCTGCTCATTCCCAACCACAACCAAACAGCCAGTGCCACTGCCTGCCAGCCCCTGCTCCCAGCAATCAATCATCTTGCCCATTTCCTTTCTTTACAGCTCCTTGCATTCACATTCTGCTATCAAACCATCAGCAGCAAATTTAGCTCTTACTAGAACCAATCCAGCTTGGCTTCCTAATTTTAAAGGATACTTGCTTTGCCTTACCAGGGGAGACTCTGGCTTAGGGGTAATTCTTACAGCTTCTGTCCTTGTCCATTTTCTTGGAATTCCACTGGCCCACACCACAGGAACAACTGCAGCTGCCACTTCAGTCAGGACCTTGCTGCTGACAGGAGTTATTATCCCTCTGTAAACACCAAACTGCTTCAATACAAACAATCCAGTGGACACTACAACTCCTTGGCACTTTCAGTGGAACCAGTGCAAGTCAGTTGCTAAGTTACACAAGGTTTTCTTCTCAAGTTGTAATTAATTCAGATATCAAAACAACAACTGTGAGATAAGGGATCCCCCCCAATGGTTCTACTTTTAGGGAAACAAAAACCCAAACCCCCATCCCCAGTACTACAATAGCTCAGGCTCCCAGAAAGGCCCAGGGGCTGTGCTGGGGCTTTGGGCTGCCCTGGAGCACAGGGAGGAACACGAGGTCACCACCCCACAGCCACAGCTGAGAACCCAAAGAGCAGCCACACCAGCAGCTCCTGCCAGCCCTGCTGGGCTGGGCCTTGGGGAGGAAGGGCACTGGCCTTTCTTCCTGCCTGGGAGCAAAGAGCCTCCTTGCTGAGCACTTCTCCTGCCAAGGGCATCAGCTCAGATAGGAAGTTCATCAAGGGCAACTTCTTGCACTGAGCAAGATTCCTCTTCCCTGGACAATCTCTTTCCAATGGAACTCAGAACTACACACAAAAGTTCAGGTGTTACCTAAAATTTCTTACAAGAACCTCTGAGACTCAACTGATGAGTTTTAGAAGCCAGACAATCTTTTATTCCTATGCTCTTGAATCATTCCAGCCCACCAGGTGTCCTGGCAATCAGCTCCCAAAGGGAACAGAGAGGTGTTTCCACTGCAGCTGATATGGCAGCATTACAGGAGGGTTCATTTTCCTTCCCTGCATTCCTAATCCCTACTCAAGACATTTTCCAACACTCACTACCATACACACCTACCCTTAGAAGGTTTCCAAGGGGCTTCACCGAGGGCCTTCGCAGGTCTGCTCTGTCTGGAGCCCTCAAAGTCCTCAGTGCCTGCCTTAGGAACCTCAAGACAACTCACCTGCTTACACAGGAACTCGGTGCTGCTTGGCTGCTGCCTCACTTCCCTTCTTCCTTCTTTCTTCACCTCCCTTGGTTGGTCCCTTTAAATCCCTTGGCTCAGCTCTGTGCAGTTTCCAGGCTACATCCCACTGCAAAAAGGATTAGCTCTTGTTACATCTCAACACTCAGGTATCATTCCCCCTTTTTTCTTAACACTCGGCCACTAGGCCAGTGTCTCATGATTTAAAGCAGAGTTTGACTCCTCAGTGACAACAACAGCTACAGCCCTGAATCATAACACAGGCTGAGACACAAACACGGATGGGAACTCTGAAGGATCCACTTTGTTCTGCTCACCAACCAAAAGGAGCTTTTTCAACTAAAGAAGAAGAGACCCCAGGTCCTTTTTCTGCAACTTCAACTGCTATAGATGTGACCCACAAGACCTGGAAAGGCCCTTCCCACTTCACCTGCAGGGCTGGCAGTGCCACCACTCGACACGGACCCAGGGGCTGGGCAGGAACGGAGGGGCTGGGGCGTCCAATCCATCGGCCCAGGCGGCACCAGGAGTTCCTGCAGTTCCTCAGGGGAGAGCCTCAAGCCAACAAAGGATTATGGACATCATTTTCAACTTCAATAGGTATATCTCCTGGAATATGGGGACTTTGACAAGGCCTACTGGTGCAACAAGGACACGCTCAAGGCTATCTATTAAAAGCATCTACTAGCACTCAAAAGCTGTCACTATCCTTCTTGCAGGGGCAACTCAGGAAACTCTCTTTGCCAAGAGCCTCCAGGAGGATTTCCAGCTTTTGGGGCTCTCTTTTAACCATTTTTCCCATCACTCTAGCTGGAACTATCACCTGCCCTACAGGGGGAACAGCCCACAAAGTTCACTTGCAGGGATGCCATTAACTCAAAGTCCCTTGTTGGGGGGTCACTGCACACCTTGTCCTTTGTTTGCCCTCCCCACCAAAGATGCTTCCAACAGTTCTGACACATCTGGCAGACCCAGAGCTCTCCTCAGGGAATGCTTTAGCTGCTTAAAGGCTGCCCTTGCACCATCTAGCCAAGGCAGCAAATGCTTACAGGCTGTTCTTAAAAGCTGGTATAACAGTCTTACCACACATCCAGAGGGAGCAATCCAGAGTCCACCCCATCCTACCATTGCCAGGAAGGCAGTTCAGGGGCTGTCTGGAGCTAAGGGAGAAGTCAAGTGGCTTCTCCTCTTCCTTTCCCCTTTCCAGATTATCTCCTTCAAAAGCAAAGGTTTCTTGGCTTTCCTTGCTCAAGGAGATGCAGCAAAGGCCATCTTTTAAATCCAATACTGCAAACTCCTGGAGATTGTCATTCAAGGTGGTTCTCTCAGGTCCTGCACTCATCAATCATCTTGGCCATTGGTTCCTTGGCAGGTTCTTGCATTCACGTCCTACAAGCAAACCAGGATGAGCCAATTTAGCTGTTACTGCAACCAATCCAAGCTGGCATTCTGATTTTAAAGGATACTGGCTTTGCCTTACCCATATAGATCCCACATCAGGGGTAATACCTACAGGTTCTGCCCTCTTCCGCCCTCCTGCAACTCCACTGGCCCACACCACAGGAACAATTGCAGCTGCCACTTCAGTCAGGACCTTGCTGCTGACAGGAGTTATTCCCTGCACAACAAGAGCTGCTGCTTTGACACATTTAGTTCCAGCAATTACAGTTTCAACATCCCCAGTTTTTAATTTCATTTCTGCCTCAACTTTTCCACTCAATCTCTTCCTAGCACAGGTTTGGCTGAGTTTGGCAAAGAGACCAACTGAAGAATTCCCCAATGTTTTCCCAGTTTAACCCCTGTCACACCAATCACCTTAACACTGCCAGTCCTTAATTCTCCTTCTCTTGTGTTAAGGACTGAGGAAGTTGGACCTGGGTCTGAGCAGGACATGTGCCAACCAAATGCTGGGGACTGGAACACACACCTTGCACTCCTGCAGCTCTTACCATTACATTCAAGAGAAAACAGCCAATTGGACCATCACTGCTCGATTCTTAATCCCAATCCCACACTTCCTTTGCACTTGGAGCATCACTTTTAGAACCCAATTACAGTACATTAGAGAGCTCCATGTCTAGCACAGACAGCTACACCTGGGATACTCTCAGCAATGCCTGAATCCATGGCAGGGACCTTGCTTTGAACTCCCCAGGGCCGGGCACCCCGAGGATCTCCCCGAATAATCCTTTCGGTGCGCGCTGGAGTCCTCGGGGTGCCCCAACCCGGGGGGCACCAACAGCACTGTCCCTCCAGGGGGGCCCAATTTGGTCCCAAGGCTTCAATGGACAGCCCAAAAGGCATTTCAAGAGCCCTTCTTTGGAACCCACCAACGGTACGGGTAGGAAGCCACAACAAGGCCTCATTTATAAATGCAGGGGGATCTTGCCTGTGTCCCAGACTGGTCCGGGGATCTGAGGCCCTTCCCGAGAAAATCTCGGTGCCGGCGTGAAGGACCAGAGATCCCTTGGAGCCACGGGAGAGCAGGCACAGAGTCCCTCCTGCAGGGCCAATTCTGCTGCCTGAAATCAGCTCTTCAAAGAAACTTCTAAGACTCAATTGGTGAGTTTTAGAAGCCAGGCATTGCTACACACTATGAGATATTTTAAAAGCTTACTGAGTGAAAAAACATCAAGCTTTTATCAGTGACATCTGATCTCAAACAGACAGCTCCTTTCTCCTTTCAGTACAAAATTATTTTCATGGAATCATTTAAGAGGAAGTGCCCAGGAACCCCAGACTGTGCTTTCCAGAACAGAAAATAAACAGAGGGAAGGAGCTTTGCACGAGTGTAACATACTCCAGAACAAACCTGACTTTAGTTTTACTCTTGATGTTCAAATATAGCAGAAGACAAAAACTCCAGCAGGAGAGCTGGCACATTACCCATGGTACCCTGAAAGTCCACCTTAAGACAGCTGGAGAAAAATCGCAGTTGTGCCAGCCCCTTTTGCCTGCAGATGCCTGTGGATCCTCTCCATCCACCTCGTGCTCTCCCAACAGCAGAAAGGGTGACCTCGGGGACATGGTGGCACTCCACATCCTGCTGAGAGAGCAAGGAAACCTTTAGCATAAAGGGGAGTTGGAATCTAAAACTTCCTTTCCTGGGAGCTTTGTGAAGCCTGCAACCAAGAGGGGGAAAATTTGCATCTCCTTTGGTGCAGGTGTCAACAGAGGCCAACAGAGCTTTCACCTTTTTCAGACAACTGTGCCCCTTTTGGCTCCCTGGCAGCTCCAATGGCACCAGGACCCCCTTCCAGCACACACACGGCTGTCACACACAGGCACCCACACACCTTTGCTCCAGCCCACACGGGGCCAACATTTCCTCACCCTGCACATCCCAAGGGCAGTAGTTTTGCTAGAGAGCACAGCAACCACCCCATCCTTGCAAACTGCCTCCCTGCAAAAAAAGGAATCATTTCTCCTGGACACTTTGCCCACAGTCAAGGGCTTTTCAAATGTGCTCAGGGTCCCTCCCGGCTTCTGCCTGTCCTTGCATTTCAAGGCATGGGCATGTTTCAGCAGCAGAACCCAGCTCCTCACGGGCAGTATAAGCCCTGCTCTTACCTGGACAGACTCCCGGGCTCGGCACAGCTGTGGCTCATGGAGCAGCTTCCCAAGGCCCTTCTCTCTCCCGGCAGGAAGCACAACTCGCCTCCACTCCCCAGCACCAGGGGAAACCACGAGCCAGGCTGCAAATTGACACAGAACCAGCAAAAAGCATTAATGCAGCACCAAAAAAAAACCAAGCTAAAGCAGTCTTGGCCTCGTAACCCTGCACAGGGAAAGGGTTTGGAATTCCAAAGCAAAACTCGATCCACCCAGAGAGCACCAGCCCCGCAGTCCTGCCACGGCTCCCCCAGGGTCACCCGGCAGGGAAGGGGTTTACCCGGCCCCCGCTGCCCAGCACAACGCGCCCCTAAACGCCCCCCGGCTCTCCCGGCCCACAAACCCAGCGGCCAAGGCGCTCTCCCCTCCGCAGCCCGGGCAGCAGCGGGGCCGCGCCCTCAGCCCTCACACACACAACCGGCCCCACCCCCCCCGCCGGCCCTTTATACCGCGGGCCGGCAGCGCTGCCCAATCAGCGCTCGAGCGCCGCCGCCCAATCCCAGCCCGCCGGTCCCCGCGGCCCCGCCCCGCCCGCTCCGCTGAGGGAGATCGGGAACTGGGGACAGGAACCTGCTGCTGGGGGAGACACCCTGGACATGGAATTGCACACGGGCACCTGAAGCCCAGGCGATTTGCTTGCCTTGGCAAGGCCCTGCCTTGCTCCCAGGCACAGAAAATCTCTGTTTCCCTGCCCAGCCCTGGAGACAGGTGGCCCCTAAAATCCCCGGCAATCAGGAAAAAAAAACAAAAAAAAAAATAAAAAAAAAAAAAAAAAAACCAAAAAAAAAAAAAAAAAAAAAAAAAAAAAAAAAAAAAAAAAAAAAAAAAAAAAAAAAAAAAAAAAAAAAAAAAAAAAAAAAAAAAAAAAAAAAAAAAAGAAAAAAAAAAAAAAAAAAAAAAAAAACAAAAAAAATGGCCCAGGCTGCAGGAGCTGGCAGGACCCAGTGGCCGTGTGTGCCGTGTGACACCGTGTCCTGCAGCCCCACGGACCTGCACAGCAGGGACAGGTCCTGGCAGCGTTTCAGTGCTGAGGCCAAAGCTGGGGCTCAGGGACAGCTGGGGCACATGGCAGCTCTGGGAATCTCTGCCATGGATGGCTGGGCATTCCAGGACTGCCTGCTGGGCAAAGGAGCTTCTCTGCAGACTGTGGAACCAACAGGTCTCATGGACTGTAAGAAGCCAGAATTGCTCCAGGACTGTAGAGGAATCTGGGTCAGAAGAGACAGTTCAAGGTCTCTAAGTCTGACCTCCTGCTCAGGCCACAGTCACCAATGGGATCGGACCAGGCTGCTCAGGGAGGGATCTAGTCATGTTTTGAAACATTCCACGGATGGGGATACAACAACCTCCCCAGGCAACCCATTCCATGAGCGACTGCCCTGACAAAATACCTCCCCCTCCTATGCGGTTGGAAGCAACAGCTGGGCTGGCAGGAGCAGAACCTCCCTGCTGGGCCATTCCCCAGCAGCCCAAATGCCCTGTCCAGGGCTTGGTGCGGAGGCCGGGGCGGCTCGTTCCTCCAGCTGGGCATTTTAGGAGCTGCCCTTGCCCTGTCACTGCCACGTCCCTCTGGCAGTGGTGCAGCTCCTCAGCTGGAGTGCCTCTGAGGGACCCCCGGCCACGTTTCCCAGCAGCTGAAGGAAGGGAGGGTCACCCCCCAAGCTGGGCTGCCTTTCTCTCGCTGCCTTTTCCCCACCTTTACACTGCAGTGACAAGAGCTGCACTTTCCCCGGGAACGGGGCAGGGACAGGGGAGAGCAGCAGGCAGGAACCCCCTTCTTTTCTGCAGGCCAATGACTAACTGTGTGTGAAGGGACAGCGACTCTGGTACCAACTCCACCTCCCACTTCTTGTCACAGATCGACCTGAGGCACTTGTCAGGTCAATACCTGCCCTTTGCAGGAGCACCAGGCTCGTGTTCAGTGTCCTCATTGTAGCCCACGAATCCCTCTAGGTGTTAAATCAGCCTCTCTGTCCTGATTCTTCTCATGAAGAATTAGCGTTTAATGAGAGAGACAAATTATCCTGAGAGTGTCTATGTTACAAGCTCAGTTTGGCAGTGTTGCTATCCTGGAAAGTGTGGGACAGGGACTGTCAGTTCTCCTTAGGCTGCTCTTAAACACCATCCCTACATTGCCAGGAGAACTCTGGAGGGAGAGACAGAGAGTTTAAACCATGAAACCTTGGCATCGCAATTGTTATTTCTAAGGATGTGTTTCTATCTGATACAGCTGTTGGGGCGATTACTCTGGAGAGTGTTTTGTACCTCAGGCAGTAAGTCTGATGGATTAGCCTCCTCGTGAGCAGGAACCAGCACGTTCCCCAAAGGAATGTTCTGTCAGACTCTGTCAAACCCAGCACGGAGGTGAGCAGGAGTGGTGCTTGTGCACAGCTGAAGTGAAGCTCCCTTGGATTCGGACTGCTCTGGGAGATCTTTGTTGAGATGGGTATTTCTGCACAGCTTCTTGTGCCATGTTGAATTTAGAGATGAGCTGATAAAGGCAGTGACACTGTTCTGTCATCACTGAGCTTTTGAGGATTTCCAACCCCTTACTCTTAAGTCCAGGGGCTCGTTGCCGGGGGTCCGTGCTCGGGGGTTTGTTCCCGGGGCTCGTTCCCGGGTCCCGCCCGTGCCCGCTGCAGGTCCTGGCCAGTGCCGCCTCTCGCCCGGCAGGCGGAGTGGGGGCCCCGCGGCGGGAGGACCGAGGTGGGATTGGGGCTGGGATCGGGACCGCTGCGGCCATAGCGGGGCTGGGACCCCCCCAGGGAACGGGACACGGTCCCGCTCGGGCCGGGGGAGCCGGGGCTGTGCCGCGGCACGGGAGAGCGGTGACCCCGGTGGGCACGGCCGGGACTGCAGCCCCAGGGTGCGACCCAAAAGCGGGGGATGGACCCCAAACCACGGCTGGGATGAGAGAGTGTGTCGTGGGTGGCCATAACCACTTGTCCCTCCCGCAGTCCTCGGCCCTGTCGGTCAAGTCCTGCAGTGCGGACTCGCCGTTCCCGGTAGCTGGAGAGGGCTCCCATCCCCGGGCGGCCCCAACGCCCCTAAATCCCGCAGCTCCTGCTCCCGATCCCGGGGTGCCAGCTCTCCTCATCCCGCCCCTGCCACAGGTATCTGTACGAGTACGCCAGCAGCTACAGCCAGGCGCCCCTGCCTGTGCTCCTGGGCTCCACCAGGACCTTCCTCTCCATGGTCTCCACCTGCTGCATCTCCCCTGCACCCACCGCCTGCTTCCTGAAGGAGGTGACACCCCTGGCACCAGTGGGCTCATCTCCATGCTGCTCCTTGGCAATCCAGGCGAACCAAAGACGCCTGCTTCCAAATTTCCAGCCACTCCCCCATACCACTACAGTGATCCTCAGATCTCAATTCAATCAGACAAGACTCGACACAGAAGGAGCAAAAATGGACATGAACTCTCCCATAAATGCATAAAGCTACTTTATTTTCAGTAGACATTTAATTTTGAAAAATAGAAATACTAAAATATCTCATCATCTTCATCTTTTGAGTCCATAAAAGTCACAATAGAAAGCTTCATAAAACTGTAAAATACTATAATGTTATAAGGAATTTCATGGTTTATATTACTGGGAAAAAAAATCACTTGAATAAGATTTGAAATGTTTTCTGCTTTTTTCCTTTTTGTTCCACCATCCTGATCCACTTCATTTCATCCCAAGTTTTCATTCCCTCCTCCAAAGCAAATACAGACCTAGGAGAATTAAAAACAATAATAAAAGTAGCTGAAAGTGCTGTTGATTCAAAATCAAAATCCAAATACAAAGGTGTATCAGCAGGCCAGAGGCTGGTGGCCACCGTGTTCCCGGAGCTGGGACAAAGCTGGCTGTGGCTGGTGGCCGTCAGGGGTCCCACCGGGAGCTGGGACCTTGGATTTGTGAGGGGAAGGTCGTTGCTGACGGCCGACTCTGACCTCAGAGGGCTTTGGGTCAGCCTCCAAACCTATTCCCTGAAGCGCCCACCAAGGCTTTTCCTACGAAATACCCAATTTGGATTGAGCTGCTCCTCTTCAGGCCTTTTCCCACGTCTCTCCAGCCTTTTCAGAGCAGGTTTCAGCTGCGTTCCTGTGACATACAACACAGCTTTCATGGAAACGGAAGCGAAGACCCCTTGAGAGTAAGCGGGGGAGGTACGGAGGTGACAGCTCCTTTGTGGGAACAGATGCTCAAATTCGGCATTTAAGGTCTCAGCACCATCACAAAATCCTCTCGACTTCACCAACGGGAACTTTGGTTACACAAGGACCAAGCGGCAGGACATGCCCTTCCCCTGCAGCGGGGTTGTCTCCATCAGGGAATTCACCTGGACAGTTTGGGGAGTCTTTTTTCTTATTATAATTTTTGGACGAAGCTTTTAGTGTGTTCCCTCATGTCCCCTGTGCCATGGTCCAAACCCAATCCAAACGAGGATTCCCCAAAGGGAAAAGGTGCCAGCACAGAAAGCCCTGGCTGCCCAGGGACTGCCCAGGCTGCGCCACACACTGCACCTGAAAGCCAAACCTCACAAGCTTTCTGTCCTGGGAAACAGGGCTGCTGTCCCCCCTTTCGTCAGCCCCGCC